ATATATATATACATAGAGTGTGTGTATGTGTGTGGCACTGTGGGCTAATGCATCAGACTGCAAAGTTGTTTGAGTTGCAAGGTCGGTGGTTCAAGCCCACCAGCTGCTCCTTGGAAACCCTATACAGGGGCCCTATGGGTGGGAATTGACTCAAGGGCGGCAACACAAGCATTTCTGTGGGATTGGAAGTGCTGAATTTGTCTGTTCCCAGCTGTAAGCTCCCCGAAACCATGTGGCCAGCAGACAGTGATGAACTTTTCTGAATGAATACACAGACATGGGACGTAAGCACGCACACACATTTGGACCTTAGTCACTTCCTCCCTCATATTGTGACGTGAACCAGAAGGTCACAGCACAATGGTCACTGTGATTATGGACACAATTTTCTTCCTGCTTCCACCTGCATAACATATAAATGTCATCATGAAAGTAAAAATGTACAGGGCGAGTCAAAAATTATCTGTACTCTGGCTATAGAATTTATTTTAATCAATTTTTAGAAAAGACAAGTACATTTTTTGACACAGTCTCCTTGCTTTTCAAAACAGTTTTTCCATCTGTCAACAAGCTTTCATATTCCCTTATTTAAAAACATTTAGGCTGAGCAGCAAGCCACAACTGCACGGCTGTCTTCACTTCTTCATCAGAGGTAAATCTTCATCCTCAAAGGGCAGCTTTCAGGGGACCAAACAGGTGAAAGTCCAATGGAGCAAGATCAGGACTATAGGGAGGAGGCTTTAACACCTCAAAATGAAGTTTTTGCAGAGTGTCCACAATGTGGGCAGAGATGTGAGGACGTGCATTGTCCTGCAAGATCACAGCGTCCTCGGATAGCAGTCCTCTACATTTAATCCGAAGTTTACACTTCAGCTCTTTAGTGAGCATCTCTCTGTAATGAGTTGATTGTTGAACCTTTTTCCCGATAGTGTTCCAATACTGGCCCTCGAGAATCCCAGAAAGATGTAAGCATCCATTTTCCAGCTGATGGTTGACTTTTGAACTTTTTCTTGGTGGGTGATTGTGAATGTTTCCATTGCGTTTTCTGCTATTTTCTCTCAGGCTTGTAGTGATGAATCCATGTCTCATCACCAGTAACATTTTTTTTAAAGAAACTTTTAGCTTCCTTCAAGTATCATTCCAAATTTTGTTTGCAGATGTTCAAATTCCTTTGTTTATGCTCTTCCATGAGATGTTTTGGAATCCGTCTCACACAAACTTTTAGAAATCCAAATCTGTCATGGATCATTCCATGTGCAGAGCCATGGTTGATTTGGAAATGATTTGCCAAATAATCCACTGTCACCTGTCTGTTCAGCCAGAATCCTTTCAGATGTCTGCTCCATGCTGTCATCCGCCATAGATCTAGACGGCCGTTTTCATGTAACTGGAATGCAGATAATTTTTGACTCACCCTCTCAAATATACTCAGCCCGAAAATGATTTGGCCTCATTAACATGTTTTGTGAAATATTCCTTTCAAAAGTGCTGAGTAAGCCATTTGGGTTGATGCTCTGTGCACCTGCTAAGGTGGGAATCTCATTAGAAAGAAGAACATGGTTCCTTCTGTGAGCCTCTGGAACCTGGGTCAGAGTGAAATGAAGGTCGTCTAACCATAATCTGTATAAGAAACTTATCTGGCATCCTGTCTTCCAAAAGCATCCCTCAGTAGGCATCTGAAGAGTGGCCGAGTGCTCGTGGCCACCAGTTAGTGAGGGAGATGGTACCCGGTGTCTCTGGCCTTGCGTTTAATATGTGCCAAAGACCGTGTCCCCCTTCTCTGAACTTTTCAAGCAGAGTTCTTAATCTTCTGGGGTCATGTGTCCCATTGAGAATCTGATGAAGACTGTGGCCCCGCTATCGAAAACATTCATACACAGAAATGTTTGCTGGTAACTTTAGAAGGTTCATGGACCCCCTGAAGAATTTCCATGGACACCAAATAATAAACCTCTGATTGAGCAGCATCATGGCAGACTGAGGAGGCAGGGACGATTGGGTTCTATTTCTCTAGAACAGTGGTTCTCAACCCCAGCTGTGCAACTAGTTTGTCTGGAAGTCTTTTAAAGACTTTTCAGACGTGTAAAAGTGAGGACAATCAGATGAGTCCCCTAGTCCCCATCCCCCCAGCTCCAACGACTGTGACCATCTGGTCACAGTTGCCATTTGCACACCTCCTCCTATAGGACTGGTTGAACGAAGACGCCAGTTGGAAGCACCTCACCATGACCCACTAAGAAAAAGCACCCTCATGTTTTCACATTACTGCGATACCACTGGGTCCCTTAAAGCCTCTGTCCCCTTTACTCTGGAGTGTCAGAACCCAGTGTCCCCACGTTGCACTGGGCTCAGGTTTCGCATATCTGTTCAAACTGATAGCTGTTGTTGTTAAGTGCTGTGTGTGGCCTCAGCCTGATATATAGCCAAGCACAGCCACAGCGTGCCCCCTTTTAACCTTGACATTTAGTTCTTGAAGAAGAGGTAAGCTGCTTTTTTCTGTTGAGATGCACGTGCCTAACCCAGCCGGTCCAGAGCTACCCACTCAGATCCACTGAGGTAGCATCTCCGCATGAGGCCCAAGCGTCTTCTTGCGCTTGCCCCACAGTCGGCTGGCTCCACTCTTCTACGGAGGGTAAATTAAAGCCAGGTTGCCAGGGAAAGAGATGTGCTGGAAAGCTCGTTAGTGACCCAAGTGACGAGTTTAGAGTCTTTGCAGATGCCACTCATGCAATAAAGGCATCTGCAAAGACTCTAACCTCCGGAAGCTCCTTCTCCAACACCCATGGGTCGCATGTGACGCCATGTGTCCTCGTGTCAGGGCACTAATCAAAGTCTTGCTTTTTGCAGGCCTGGCCACCTGATCGCGGCCCCTGCGCCCCAGACCGTCGTGCGCATGGGGTTATGGCCCTGCTGTCCGGGCCCGCGGAGCAACCCCGCGGCGGTGGCCCTGGTGGCGCCCGGCACGTCATTATCAACGTGGGCGGCTGCCGGCTGCGCCTGCCCTGGGCCGCGCTGGCCCGTTGTCCCCTGGCGCGCCTCGAGCGTCTGCGCACCTGCCGTGGGCCCGACGAGCTACTACGCATCTGTGACGACTACGACGCGGGCAGAGACGAGTTCTTCTTCGACCGCAACCCCAGCGCCTTCCGCATCATCGCGGCGCTGCTGCGTGCTGGCAAGCTGCGGCTGCTGCGCGACTCGTGCGCGCTGGCCTTCCGCGACGAGCTGGCCTACTGGGGCATCGACGAGGCGCTCCTGGAGCGCTGCTGCCTACGCCGGCTACGGCGCCGCGAAGAGGAGGCAGCCGAGGCCGAGCGCGGAGCCAGCTCGGGCCGCCCCTCCGTGGGCTCCCCAGAGTGCGCTCTGGACACCGGCGGGCGCCTGGCACGGGCTCGGCGGCTCCTGCGCGATGTGGTGGAGAACCCCCACTCCGGCCTGGCAGGCAAGCTCTTCGCCTGCGTCTCCGTGTCCTTCGTGGCCATCACGGCCGTGGGCCTCTGCCTGAGCACCATGCCGGACATCCGCGCTGAGGAGGAGCGGGTGAGCACGCGAGGGCCCAGCGCCAGGGGTGGACGAAGGTGGCCAGGGGCGAGAGGGCGTGGAGGGGACAGGATGCACAAGTGCAGAAGGGAAGGGAAGGGCCACTGTATCCACTCCATGATGGGAGAGACGCCATTGCCTATTTTGGTCAAGTGGATCTTGATGAGGTCCCCGCTCTAAGGCGACAGACACAGAGGCCAGTTTGACCAGCAGCCAGGGGCGGCCCACCAGCTGGGGCTTGGTGGTCAAGTCTCTCTGGGAGCTCAGCGCCGCAGACGCCAGGACCTGGACAAGCAGAAGTGAAGTATTATGTCTTCAGGGTCTTGTTGTTGTTGTTAGGTGAGTCGGCACCGACTCACAGCGACCTTATGCACAACAGAACGGAACACTGTCCGATCCTGAGCCAACCTCACTATTGTTGCCACAATTGCGGCCGCTTTGCCAATCCATCCCCAGTCTCATTTTGAGTGCCTTCCGCCCAGAGGGGCTCATTTTCGGGGACTATGTGTTTCTTTGCCATTCATGAGGTTCTCAGTAGTGTGTTTTAAGTCGGGTCACCCCAGACCAGAGAGTGGCCGCCTGGACCTTCCGCAGGGGCCAGGCCCAGGCTCCCAGCCCTGTATGGCTGAGGGCCCTGTGGGAAATAGGCAAGGTCACCTTGGCGAAATGTGGAGTTCCTTACCCTTGTTAGTCCTTCTCCCAAAGTTCTCTTAATTTGGGAATGCCAGCCTCAAATGGGTGGGAGTACCCTGGGGGTCCTCTGGGGGTCAGTGGATTTCCAGGGCTGCGGGGGGACCAGTGCATGAGCATAGGCCATCCGGAAGGTGCTCAGAAAGACAGTCCTCAGGCCAGGGTGGGGTAACGTGCTAGTCACATCCCTGAGCTTCATGGAGGAGCAGACCTCATGGGGGCTGTTTCCTGTAGCACATCCCAGACCACTCAGTGGCCCTGAGCCCGTGGGGGGTCCTGCACCCTCCCTCTGGTGGTCAGTCACCCTGGAGAGTAAACTCATATTCAGGAGACAGAGTGACTGCAACTCTGACGGCAGTGCAAATGTAAATGTAAATCTGAGGACATTGGTTTGGCCTCCTCACTGTTTGGGTGTCTGTGACTGAGTCTTCATTTCCTGCCCCCCTGACAGAGTCCAGCTTTCTGTTTCTCCTTCTAAAGAGGCACTCTCCATGCATGGGTTTCCGAGGTAGTAATAACTCCACATATGTCTGGTGGAGAAAAGTCATTCATGTAAGTACTGGGGAGCGGGAGAGGTGAGGTCTGAGCTAGGAGCTGCTCTGGGATGTGGGAATTCTAGGGGATGTGGAGCTGGCCCCTCCCATATGCCTGTTTGAAAGGATGATGCCCCCTCAGAAGGCAAGTGCAAAGCACTCCTATTGGTCTGAGCTGCTGGCCGCTGCTATTGCTGGAAAGGCCACGTGTAAGATAGATGTGCTCCAGAATCTAATAGAACCTCAAGCAAAATGACCACGATGTCTCTAATGGCATGGAGAGGCTCTGCTGCAGGTGGTGACGGCCAGAAGCTCACGAGGGTGTGAGACCCTCAGCCCTAGGTGTCCAGGTGAATGGGCTTAGCAAGTTGGGTTCTGGAAGAAGCCAGCTTAGGGCGATGCTTGGCAGCTCAAGAGCCCCAGAGCCCTTGCCTTGAGGTGTCCAGGCCAACGGAGTAGACCAGCTGGGAGGGATGCTGTTCTGGAAAGAGCTGGCTTGTCTGTCCTCGCTCTCCTTCCCGAAACCACCACCTCAGGCATCTTCCTTTGGTGGACTGGTAGACATTCTTAATACCACGGCTTGGGAGAGATTTTGGAGGGCCATGGGGGTGGCTAAAGCCAGTTAAGTAAACAATCCTGGATTTGGATATGAATGAATTCTCTATGGTCTTGACCTTCAGGATCTTTGTTAGCCCTCAAGCATTCTTCACACTGAACAAGCCCCTTTGTGCAGAGGGGCTGGGAGGGATGCCTTCATCTCCTGTTGCCTCCCCAAATACCCATGCAGTGAGGCCTGGGGCCTTCAGTGTTGGGGGGGTGCAAAAAGGTGTACACAGGAAAAAGAAGATGCTCTTTCCCCACGTTCTCCTGTTCGACTATCTACGACTAACATCGTCTGAGTACCTCAGTGGTGGCAGCACTTCATGAATTTATAGTCCTGAGCGGAGGGTCTGGCATGGCAACATTGGTCCTCATGAATATGTAGACATGAGAGGAGGGTCTCACATGGGGTCACTGGCCCTCATGAATATGTAGGTTTGAGCCGAGGATCTGGCATGGAGTCAACCACAGATACTATGTCTGTCCCTCGGCCTGCCAGATCTCTGCTGTGGCTCCTCCGTCCTCCCTGTGCCTCCACCAGCACTCACCCTGTGGAGGGGAGGGTGAGCCCAGGCCCAGCTCTCTACTGAAGGCCTTCATAGCAAAGACAGAATCCACTGCTGTGGACAAAGCTGTTCCGCTGAGCATTTCCTGCAAAGATGTCATGTAGAATGTGTGCCTTCATGAAGTGTGTGTGTGGGGGGGGGGGGGGGGGGGGTCACTCTCCAAGTGATGAGCTTCAGGCTGTCTCCAGTGGCTTTCCCATGATGCCACCAAAAGGACGAAGCTGAGGTCAGGATGGTCCCCTGAGCAGCCACTGATAAGCCCCGTGCAGAATCAAGTCACCAAAGCCAGCAGCGCCCGTGCAGGGACCAAGCACGGTTTCAGAACCCTCTCAAGCATGTCCCCAGACATCCTCCTGGAAGTGGTTGTGAGGTTGTGAGATGAGGTTGCAGTGTCAACGTCAGAAAGTGTCATGAGCAGCTCCTGCAGCAAGGTGGCCCTTCTGACCTCTCCAGTGTCATCAGAGGGGAGACTACCAGCTGTCAGGAGATGAGGAATTACGAAAAACATCTTCATCATAAGTACTGTGGAGGCATTTCTTAAAATTTAGCATTCGTTTCTAATTAAAACTCTTGCTGAAATTGATGAAAACAAGTCCTTCACTTATAAAATATGATATGATAAAATACATATGGTTAAGTAGATGTAAACTTTTTGGCACATATATAAAAAAAATTTATTCTAAGTGATAAAAAGAAGTATGGATTTGGATCTATAAACTGTCAGCCAGTGTTGTTCTTAACTGTGTGATATTAGACCCGCTTCTCAGGAGATCAGGAACAACACACACCTGCTCAAGGTTTCCTTCTTGTTAAACGAGGCCATCACCAGGGCCCTTTGAAAAACCACTTCGTTGAGCTTAACCCACACACTGTACAGTCTACCCAAGAAACTGCACAATTCCATGGTTTCTAGTATTTCCGCAGGGTTGTGTGTGCTTTGTATGAGCTGATTTACCTCATTATTTACAGATCAACTGAAAATCCAAGAGAACGAACTGAAAGCTTACGAGAAATAAGTAAATGTGTTAAGATGGCTGTCTGTGTGATAGATAGACAGAAATCTGTGTGTTCTCTATGCCACCAGTAATGGAAAACCATGGAGAAACCATTCTGGTTTATTTGCACCTACAAATAATTTTAGCAAGAAAGGAGCACTGTCTGTATGAAAACCTAAAGGGACCAACCGAGCAGAGAGGCGTGCACTGTGTGATTTCGTGTGGGAAAGTGCTCCCAAATTACCAGTGGCATTTCTTACAGCCTCGGCCATAGTATCATTGGGTGTTGGTGGAACCTCTCAAAGCCCTCAAGGATCGTCCGTTCCGCCTGGAGACACGCAGGTGGAGGTCTAGCCTGTGAATTCTGGAGAATGAGAGAGAAGTGGAGTGTCAAGAAGAGACTCCTTTCTCGTGAGGCAGAGAACATGCTGGGGGCGCTCACACCCTGAGCCCCAGTTGGAGGAGAGCTGTGGGTGTGGGGGATCCGCCAGTGAAGAGAGAGGAAAGCATATGTGTGACTGTGTGATTAAATGTGAGTGTGTCTGACTGTGAGCACGTGTGTGACTGATTAGGAGTGTGTAAGTGAATGTGAGTGTGGTATATGACTGTGTGACAGGGTGTGTGACTGCATGATGACATGTGTGTTTGATTGTGAGTGTGAGAAGTGAGTGTGCGTGTGTATGCCTGTAAGTGCACACATGAATATCTGTTAGTACACACGTGTGTGATTGTGAATGTGCATGTGTATGCCTGGAAGTGCACACATGTATACCTGCTAGTACACACGTGTGCTTATGAGTGTGCATGTGTGTGCTTGTGAGTGCACACGTGTGTGCACGTGTATGGCCCCTCTCCACAGAGCACCCATGAACGGCCCGTCCAGAGAGAGCGCCACACAGCTGCACCTCAGAGCAACATCGCTGCCTCTCACTTCTGTGACCGTGAGGTCTGGCGCAGAACTGAGGTGACATCGTTTGGTAACTTACCCCTGCCCCTCAGGACTGCCCAGGGACGCGGGAAGATGGGTCTGGTCCTCATCTTACCTCATAACATGCTCTCTCCCTCGGCACACATGGGTCTGGTGCAGACAGCACATCTTTTTTTTTTTTTACATATGTCCTGTGTTTTATAAGGATCTGAGGGCTCGTGTCTTCTGGCCTCCCGCTTCCCTACTCCACAGATGCTACCTGACACACACCTCCTCTGCGGGGGGGGGGGGGGGGGGGGTTGCTCCTCCATCACGTGATCTTGGCAGCTGGGGTCCAGCCCTTCATTAGGAAATAGCACAGCCTGTTTGTGAACGGTCCGACTCTCGCTGTTCTGGGAAGAAAGTGGATGAGGGGTAGTAGCCATCACGGCTGGCCTGGCGGGGGCACCACTGGGGGTCTGGGGATCCATGCAGCAGAATCCACCACACCACAGCTTGACCTGCAGGCCCACGGCAGGGTAACCCTGAAGATCTTAACTCTGCAACCTACAGGAGCGAGCTCTGCTGTGGAGCACCCTGAACATTCAGCTTTATCAGAAAAACAAAATGAAAGACCGAGTGGGTGTTTCATTCAACTTGAAGATGCTGCTGACAGGTCCCTGCTCCCACCCTGCAGCCATACGCTCTGCCGCTGCCACCCGTACTCCCCCCACACCTGACCAGACCGTGGGCCCCAAGTGCTCCCCACCAGCACTGCTCCTTCCATCCCTGAATGAGAGCAGAACCAAGGTCAGGAGAGCCCGAAGGTGCCAGCTAGCGTGTGTCTAGTGACCAAGGCCCCACACACCTGCTGTCTCCAGGGCTGGCACAAACAGTCCACATCACACCCACAGAGGGGCGGATGGTGAGGGAAGATGTCAGCAATCCACGAAAGAAAAGTTAACGGTGAGGTGTAACTCTTCAAAAGCAAGGGTCCAAACACCATTGATTCCTGACCAGGCTTGACAAATGTCCCAGATACGTCCAACTATGATAAATAAGGGCCTGTTTTCTGGGTCAAAAGTTCCAGGGACCAATGCCTCCAATTAGCCAGCACAGCTGGTGTTTGTAACAGGGAGGACGAGGACACAGGGGGTCGGGGGAGGGGCGTGTCACCGCTGCTGACCGCAAGTCTCTCCCCTGCTCATATTCAGAACCTTGGAGAGGAGTAAATTCTATAAGATTCAGGCTATGGGGTTGAGAGTATTTCTAGATGAGGACCAGCACAAGGTGGGATGATGTTTGTTGAATGTGGGCTACGTGTGTGTAGCTGAAGTGTGCATATCGTAAGTGTAAGGGTAGTGTATTATGTGTTGTATATATGAGTGTGTGTAAGTGTCGTGTAAGTGTTGTGTGGGTGAGTGTACTATGGGTGGTGTACACATGTGTGGGTGGTGTACATGTGTGTGGGTGGTGTACACGTGTGGTGGGTGGGTGTACTGTGGGTGGTTCACATGTGTGTTGGTGATGTACATGTGTGGGGGGTGCATTGTGGGTAGTATACATGTGTGGGGGTGCAGTGTGGGTTGTGTACACGTGTGGGGGTGTACCATGGAACCCTTGGCAGTTGAAGAAGTCTGTGGACTTCTCACAGTATTGTGTTTCATGGACAGGAAACGCACGGAGTTACAAAGGAAGCCAGTTAAGCCCACCTGCATGCTAAGAGCTTGGACTGTGACGGAGGCAGGAAGGACCTGGCGACAGTGGGCAGCGCAGTTGGCATCAGTGGCCATGTGGAGAGGACTGCAGAGGGTGGGGTTTGTGAAGAGAAGTTTAGGGGTGGGGGCCTCTGTTTTCATGATCTCCTCACAGAGACGCTCCCTGAAAGAAAACTGCCCATTCACAGAAGGTTCTAGAGAGGAGGGAACAGGAACGGAGTTGAGGAAGAGAACCCAGCAGGAACAATTTGGCCTGCTCGGTCCCACAAACCTTCTGGCACCCCTCCCAGACAAGAAAACAAGCGCGTGGCCAATATTTCCAGTCATACAATAGCAGGTGGTGATTAATGTAGAGGGCAGCTTATTGGATTCTGACAGCTCGTTAACAACCCTGAAGTTAATAGAAAAGTCTCGCTCTGCTCCACACACAGGCCCCTCAGGCGATGAGCAGTTGGGAATGTACAAATGTGAAGAGCCTTGCTAGGTCCCTGCCGACCAGACCCAGTGACAAGTCAGTATTTGGGGGTCCCCTCATCTCTGTGCCCGAGAGGAGAGGTGGTGCAGAAGGGTCTGCCATTAGCTGCTGGGTTGGGGACGGCAGGGAACCAGGGAGTGGCCCCCTTGTTGTCAACCTCCAGCCGCATCCTGTGTCTGGCCGCTTTCAAAGGCTCAAGATGGCTGCCCGCTCCATGCCAACTGACAGCCCTCTGTTTTTCTTCTCTCCTGCTGATCCTATTCAGCTCATTCAGGTGCTACCTGTTTCACTTGGTCTCCCGTGCCTTTGTTGCAGATGGGCTGTTCAGTGCATTAAGGAATTTAAGTAAGCCTTCCAATTTCTGCTTGTCCTTGCCACCATCTTAACAGAGTCCTGGTGTGGCACTGTCGGATAAGCACTGGACCGCAAGGTCAGTGTGAACCACAAGGTCGGCAGTTCAAACCCACCAGCCATCAGAACCAACTCAACAGCCCTTAACAATAACCATCCATCTTAATGTTAACCCTGAACATGGGATGTCTTCCCATTGGTCTAGGTCACTTTTGATTTTCAGCAGTGTTTTAAATCTATGAGAGTAAAAGTTGTGCACCTCTTCTGCTAAATTTATTTGTAAGTACTTGATTATTTTTGATGCTATTGTGAACTTGTTAAACTCAGTTTGGATGAATCATTGGAAATGCATAAAAATCCAACTGATTTTTGTATTTCAGCCTTGCTGAACTTATGTGGCAATGTAGGATAAGCATTGAACTGCTAATTGTGAGGTTAGTGGTTCAAACCCATCAGCTGCTCCTTGGAAACCCTATACATGGTCTCTATGAGTCAGAACCAACTTGATGGCACTTAACAACACAGTTTTTCAGTAAATTGCTTAGAATTTTTAAATTACAAGACCATGGCACTTAATAACAACCACCACCACCAAGTTTTCCAGTGACTTGCTTAGTATTTAATTACAAGGCCACGTCATCTGTGAACAGCAAGTTTTACCTCTTCCTTCCCAATCTGTTGTTGTTAAATGCCATCGCGTAGATTCTGACTCATAGCAACTCTGCATAGGGCTTCTGAGGCTTTGAAATCTTTGTGGGAGCAGAAAGCCTCACGTTCTCCCACCCGTTTTCCATCTAGACGCCTTTTCTTTCTTTTCTTTGTCCAGCAGCCCTGATTAGAACCTCCAGTCCAATGGTGAATAGCGGTGTGAAAGCAACTAGCCTTGTCTTGTTCTTAGGAGGATTTGGGCAGAAAGCATCCACTAAGGAGGCTTGCTCTGCGTGTTTTGAACATGTTTTTTTGTCAGGCTGACAAAAGGAACTTTCCTTATTTTCTTGGTTTTCTAAGTGTTTTTTTCTTTTGTTTTTATCATGAACGGGTTTTGTCAGAAATTTCTGTGCCAATTGAGATTGGTCATGTGGTTTCTGTTGACTTTTTATTCTGTTGATATCATGTGTGGCATAGATTTTCAAATGTGACACCAACTGTGCAGCCTTGGGATAAATCCCACTTTGTCAAGATGTGTGTTTCTTTTTGTATGTTGCTGGCTTTCAGTCTGTTAGTATTTTGTTGAGGGTGTGTGCATTTGTATTTATAGGCAATAGTGGTCTGAAATGTTTTTTCTGGTGGTGACTGGTTTGGGTATCAAGGTAATACTGACCTCATAACATGATGTGGGAAGTAAATCCTCCTCTTTTATTTTTGGAAAGAGTTTGTGAACTTTCGATATTGGCTTTTCTTTGAATGTTTGGTAGAATTCAGTGGTGAGACTATCAGGTCTGAGCTTTTATTTGTGCACTGTTTTGTTTTTTTCTATAAATTCACTTATTATAGGGTTACTCAGTTTGTTTATTTCTCCTTGGGTCAGTTTAAGTAGTTCTTATCTTTCTATGAATTTGTCCATTTCTTCTAAATTATCTAATTCACTGACATAGTATGAATATGTTTTTCACCAGTGCCTTCAGTGAAGTTTGGACTTCTTCCTTCAATATCATTGATGATTTCAATCACATGCTACCTCTAAATGGTTGAATGTTAACCATTTCATTTTGGTACACTGACAGTGTATTCTTTCCACGCGTCCTGCTTCATTCAACCTTTTGCTAATTTCTTTGTTCAGTGACTGACTAGATTACAGGATTATTTTAGCAGCACTATGGGTTAATGCACTGGACTGCAAAGTCACTTTGAACTACAAGGTCAGCGGTTCAAGCTCACCAGCGGCTCCTCGGAAACCCCAGATAGGGTCGCTATGGATCAGAACAAACTCAACGACATTTAACAACAATACTATTTCTCCCTGCAGAGAGGTAAACCCCTCATGTTGGAGAGGGCCAGCTTTGAGGATGCCTGCGGTCCCCTTGGAATGGCAGTGGCCTTGGCGGAGCTGTCTTCCACTCTTTCCTTAACCAAATGTTAAGTTCCACAGATTGCTGGCTGGCTGAGCTGTAGCTCATGTGTTGGGGCATGCATTCCTCTGTACACAAACCAAATCCAAAGGTGGTTTCTTTGCACTGGTTTCTGGGGTCTATGTTTGATATTTGTTCCAATACCAGGGGGCTTCTTCTTCCTAGCTGTCTTCTTTCCAGGTCCTTTCCTACACACTAGGCAGCCTACGGTCTGGGCAGTATCATCATTAAATCTACAATCTCCCCTTCACCACAACCTCTACTGTTCTGGAAAGCATCCTTAGGTTTAAACTTCTCCATGCTCTCAGAAACCTTATATAGGGTCACTGAGTTAGACGTGACTCAATAGCCGTAGGGTGGGTTTGGGTGTATGCTCTCTGGCCAGTCCCTTTGCGTAGAGAGTAGGAGATACTGTACAGTTGCTTTTCCCTCTAGGCAGAATCTCTGATCTCAGGCTCTGGAGCTGGGGACAATGGTGTGGACCAGAGCTGACCCAGGCCTGGTACCTGAGTGGTACTGCACTTTAGAGATGAGCGCTCAGTGGAGGTCAAAGGACCATAGCCTGAGGTCTTCTTTGCTTGCCTCTCCTGGGATGGAAGCACTGTCTCACAGGCAGGGAGAGGGAGAGGGAGAGGCCCCCCCCACCTCCCCGGGACCCCCGTAGTCTCAGCGGGGGATGGGTAGTGAGTGGTCTGCATTCAGACTCTTGCCTTTCTTGCTGATTTCTGTGAATTTTCTTGAGTAGGTGTCTCTTAATTTGTTTGACCTTAGGTTTAATGGTTGTTCTTAAAATAACTGTCACCACTTTTACTGAGGACTACGCATCGTTTCCCGCCAGGCTTTCGGGGATGAGATGGGCTGCTTTGCTGTGTCTCTGTGGCCCCTGGGAAGAGCACGCATCTCCCTGCGTCCGCGAATGATAGCACAGGCTGCTGACCTCACCAACACTGACCCTCCCTGTCCCCCCAGGGCGAGTGCTCTCCCAAGTGCCGCAACCTCTTCGTGCTGGAGACGGTGTGCGTGGCCTGGTTCTCCTTCGAATTCTTGCTGCGCTCCATGCAAGCCGAGAGCAAGTGCGCCTTTCTGCGGACGCCACTCAACATCATCGACATCTTGGCCATCCTCCCCTTCTACGTGTCTCTGCTGGTGGACCTGGCAGCAGGGGGCGGGCCGGGGACTGGTCCCGGGCCCGGGACGGTGGGCGTCGCGGGCCCCGCAGGTGGGAACAAGCTTCTGGAGCGCGCCGGCCTGGTGCTGCGGCTACTGCGCGCGCTGCGAGTGCTCTACGTGATGCGCCTGGCGCGCCACTCGCTGGGCTTGCGCACGCTCGGGCTGACTGCGCGGCGCTGCGCGCGCGAACTGGGCCTGCTGCTGCTCTTCCTGTGCGTGGCCATGGCGCTCTTCGCGCCGCTCGTGCACCTGGCTGAGCGCGAGTTGGGCGCGCGCCGCGACTTCTCCAGCGTGCCGGCCAGCTACTGGTGGGCCGTCATCTCCATGACCACAGTGGGCTACGGCGACATGGTGCCACGCAGCCTGCCCGGGCAGGTGGTAGCACTGAGCAGCATCCTCAGCGGCATCCTGCTCCTGGCCTTTCCGGTCACCTCCATCTTCCACACTTTCTCGCGCTCCTACTCGGAGCTCAAGGAGCTGCAGCAGCGCGCCGCCAGCCTCGAGCCCGCCCTGCGCGAGGACAGCACGCGCTCGCCCACCGAGGACAGCTCGCAGAGCCCGGACGGCGCCCTCACGGCTGGGGGCGCAGACAGCGTGGACACGGGGGCCGGGCAATGGGCGTGACCGAGCCAGCCAAGTCGGGGACTGAGGGCGCGACCCACGCTGGGCCGGGGAACTGCCCAGCACCTTCCACCCCCAGCCCCCAGATGTCCAGAGAGAACCAAATTCTGCCATGACAGGACCCCACTCGCACAGCCGGGAAAGGGGATCCCGCCCGGTGGAGTCGTGGTGGGCTGACCCGAAGGGCCCTAGTTTGCTTCCGAGGAGCAGGCTCTGAGCCTCCCGCGTCCCAGCTCCATAGCCGCCCCGACACTGCGTGCAGCCTCCCGGAACGGCACCAGCCTTTCTCCCACTCCTACGGCGAACAGGGCGAACAGGGACGAGGGGGTACACGTCCTGCCGGTAACAAAGGCCCCCCTGCCTGCCTCCACTGCGTCTGTCCTCACCTAAACTCTGCCAAAGCCCACTTCTGCCAGGCCTGTTGGGGGTCCCAGGCCCTCTGTCTCAACACCAGCTCCTCATGGGTCCCCACAGATTCCCCACCCACCTCGGAAGGGCGTACTGACCTCCCCACCCATGCCCGACAGCTGGACTTGTCAAACCTCTCTCTGCCTTCATTAGCTGTCCTGACTTCCCCATAGGAGATCTCCCCAAGACTCAGTTCAAGTGTGGGGACCACCCGGCCATGGGCGGCGGGGTGCCCTCGGAGTCTCCTCCAGTCATCGTCGGCTCCAGGGGCACCTGTCTGCGGCAATTCGGCTGCGCTCTGCCAGGAGGAGCTCAAGAGACGCAGAACTTCCCAATCCTGTTGCTGGCTTTGCCTTTCCTGGGCAGAGCTCCACGGCTCCCGTGAAACTCAGGATACTGGATACCGCCTCCCGTGAGGCTTTGCAAGGGTCCCCTGTGGACCGGAACTGTGCGGAGACTTACCTACCACAGACGGGTCCTAGGTCCACAGGGGTCAGACCCGGATGGCAGCTGGCTGTGCTCCGTAAACATGTGACCCCGTGTTACCACACCTGTGACTATGCATGACCTCCCCTCCCCACCTCTACGCTGGGGCCAGTGTTCTCCAGGTTCCCGGCCGAGCAGGGCCAAGGCCAGATGGACTGGATTTGCATGGGCCGTTGGCCCCACGAAGTCCTCTAAATCCCTCTCTCATGTCCCCAATCTGCCCCTGGTAGCCACAGTCACAAGCTCTCCAGAAGTCTGTCAGTCTGAGGCCACAGGACAGATGGACAAGAGCATGGGAGATGGACAGCCCCCAGTGGTGAGGTGGAGACCAGAACCCCCAAACATAGGGTGACCCGGTTCTGGCTTTCCTCTTGTCTAGTGACCCCTATTGTTCAGGGTCCTTTTAGCAGCTCTATGGTGTAGAAATGACCTTTGGATGGAGAGATAGGTCTGCCTGGGAGGACTAAGGGCTCTGTGCGGAAGCTCATCTGCTGAGTTTGTTCTGAAGGCGGACTCCCACCCTGGCTTCTGTGGCCCCCAGGGAACCAGCAGGGAGCAGTCAGAGCCAGGCTGGTGCATCTGAGATGTGTGGTTCCAACACATCCTTGGACATGAAGGCTCCCAGCCAGCTGTACAGTGGACATCTTGGAGCCACCGTGGCACGCCCCCCACCCCCCACCCATGTGACCCGCTCAGGGCCAAGGGTGAGACCAATGAATGACAGCGATGCCTTCCCAGGCGGCTTTCAGGGCATTTGCATCCTTCCAGATGTTGCTGGTGACCTCAGGGCCAACAATCACTCCACATGCTATGGGCCTGGCTGGCCAGCACCACCCAGCCCTTCAGAAAACAAGCCGAGGCAGGAGGCCAGTGGTCATGCAAGGGGTTTCTGTTCCTCCCCATGAGCACCTCAAAGGGCCAACCCAGACCCAGGTGAGCCCTCCAAGATGGGGGCACCAGCTGGGCGAACAGATGACACCCAGGTTAGTGTGATGGGGGTCCCAGGAGGCACACAGTCCCTAGTGAACAAGGAGAGACTCTGCCCCGGTGTCTGTAAAGTACCTTTATTTCTCAGACATAAGGGACCCACCAGAACCCGACGGGTTGCCAGCTTCCCTGAAGATGACCTGTCCCCTTCCTCCCATACTGACCACCTGACTGATCCTTCAGGCTCCATCCCCCCGACACCTAGACAAAAGCTGTGCTGACATCATGGAAATTTCTGCAGGGTGCAGCACCAAACCACCTGCCTCTTCGTGCGCTTTGCAGTTTGAAGATGATCCAAAATCAGGGAGCTCAGTTTGGAAATGCAGCTATGTTTCTGTGCACCCTGCTGTCTGGTGCCCCCTCCCCCCCACCAGGGTTTATGTGGCCAAGCTACTCCACATGCTAGAGGTGATGGACCAGGCCCAGCCATCTCACTTGTAAAACTGGAGTCTTTAGCTGAGAACCTTCTATAGCTGTGTCCTTCTACCAAGCACCCTGCCTCAGCCCAGGGGCCTTCTGCTCAGGCCTGTGCTCCTCCTTGAAACACAACCCCAGTCTGCACGCCTGCCTTCCGCCACCCACCTCTACTGACCCCTGGACAGGCTGAGTGGGGCAGCATGGGACACGGTCCACTGTAAATGCTGGAACCCACAGCTCCTGCCAAACAGACCCAGCTCCACACGCAGTTTCTCTCTAACTGGAAAAGAAGATGGCAGAAGCCATGCAGAAGTCTGGGTGGGAGCGAATACTCACACTGACACGCATCCTTCACAGCTTTCCATCTGCTCTAAGTTCTCACAGACTCAACTCTGAAAGAGAAGACCTCTGCTGCTCATCCCAGGCCCTCGCAAGACCCGCATCTTGTCCCCATTTCCAAAACAGTCTCCTTGCTGAAAGAACAAACCGTTAACAGTCAAATGAGAGTTACGACTTCAGCAAACGTTTTCTTGACTTCAAATGTTGTCTTGACAATCAGTTCAGACCTTGTTTTCTGGTGGTGTTTCTGTGCCATGGAGTCAGTGCTGACTCAGAGACCCTGCTCAGGGTTTCCGAGGCTGTAAATTGTTACAGGAGCAGAAAGCCTCATCTTGCTCACTGCCAACAGCATTGCTCCCACGTGACACAGAACTACAGCATGAGGTCTCTAGGTTGGACCTGTTATCAGAGTAGATTGGCAGACCTGTCTCCCTTGGAGCCACTAGATGGGTTTGCATTGCCAACTTTTTGGTTAGAGCCAAGTGTCTGTCCTTAAAATGTGTCTCTAGGACTTGAAATGAGACCCCCATCCTCTAAGGAAGCGGAATCATGGGGAAAAGGTCTGGAATGTGTGACCTGGTAAAGCCTGGGCTCCTTCAGACAGTGTCACGGAGAGCTCTCCCCTGCAAATGGGCCAGAACCATGATGTCACCACTCGTGTGGGCAGGCAGCCAGGAAGGGCCAGCACTTGGCCTGCTGACCCTCCTTGTCCAGTGGGAAGTAGCACTGGGTAAGGAGAACCCAGACCCCAGCAGACGCATCCCACAAGAACTTGCAGAGTCTGAGTGGTTTATTGATTTAAACTTGTCACAGCGGCTGGACTGAGTCATGTTCACCCAGTCTCTGTGCTTCTTGGGTTGCACTCCCATCTGAAGGTAAACACCCCCCATTTCTTAAAAATAAACACTTCAATGCATCTTAGAGGCTGAGCGCTAAGCAAGGCCCTCGCTCAGCTCTCAAGTCTTCCAGGGCAAGTGGGGGAGACCAGCCTTGGGCATCTCTGGCCCCCACCTGCCACAGCCCCCACCTGGGGAATACTACATGCTCCTCTCAGCTTGGGTTCCATCTGCAGCTGGTCCCTCCGCCCAGCGGAAGGGAACTGCCCATGGGCAGGGTCTGTGGAAAAGAAGCCGGGGCAGGCTGGGGCTCAATTGAGACTAGACATAGGGGAGTTTATCTTGCACAATGCACCAGGTGAAGCAGCTGTCAGACGCAGCATAATGCGTGAAGGAGGGCAGCCAGGTAGCAGGGTGGCAGGCCTGCGTCTGTAAGGTCACTTTAGGCCCGAGAGTGGTCTGAGGTACAAGGAACTCCAGAGAGAAAAGGAACCTATCCTCACATGGCCCTCTCCTGCAGGTGGGCTCCTAGGCCTAACCCTGAACATGCGCAAGACCCCTAGAACAGAGAGGGAAACAGCCGTCCCAGAAGCCCACGTGGGGCCTTGCCAGAGGCCACCCACCCACACCTGCCACCCATGGCTCAGGGTCCAAGCCTGACATCCTGGAGCTTGCTCCAGCAATGGCCACTTACCCACTCACCCCCAGGGACATCAAGGCTAGGAAGCAACCAGGGTGTCTAGATGCAAGGGACCACTTGAGATACTGCCGACAGGGCCTGGGCCCTGGGCAGTGGACTCTGGTGCCACCTCAGACAGACAGCTCTGCCAGACAGACAACGATAAACATGCACACACATAGGACTTCCTTGCCTTTACGCTGGGTGTCCACAGCAGCTCATCTGTCCTGCCACCCTCTGAGACCACTGTCTGTCTGCAGGTTCTGCAGCGCTCTGACAACACTTCTGTCTCAGTTCTCACTCCTACCCAATGCCCCTGGCCCCTGGCTTGGTGTCCTGTCCTACTTGGGGCCCTGTGGCTATGAGATGAGAAGGATTCTTCCCGGCTGCCACAAGCGTCACTGCATCCTCATGGCATGAACACATTCAAGGTTCATCCAGGTGACTGCGGAGAACTGGGGGTGCGAACTCACCTTACAATCACCTAAAGACGATAGAAACTCACCTTGGGTAAAACCCACCTGCTGCTGGCCCCCTGTGCCTACTAGATCCCCCTGACTCTTCCCACCCTCTCCAGGAGCCCCATGGCCCCAGTGGACAGTGGGCATCAGAGCGCCTTGGCACTGACAGGGTGGGCAGGGTGGGGCATGGGCTTTGGGGGCCGGCGGGCATAGGTATAGGCCTGCAGCAGGATGGCCAGGTCCACGAACACCTGCAGCAGTCCGCAGACGGAGAACTGCAACGGCACGCGATTCAGCAGGAAGTAGGCAGTCTTGAAGGTGTCACCGCTGGTCCACATCAGCACCATCTTGATGCTACAGAGACACACAGAGGTTAGGGTGGTGCCGCCAGGCCATGGGGGTCAGAGGCTCTGGGTCAGTACAGCTCTTCAACTCCCAAGGGAAGGGGAGTGGTCCACAGCAGTGTGTATGCGGTCCCAAGGCCCGGATGGAAGTAGTGGTGTGTGGGAGACACGGCTGGACACCTCCCTGGGCTGGTTTCAGAAGCTCTGTGTGGGAGCCCTCCCAGGCAGCCCACATGTGACAGGGGGCCGGGTTACAGATCCATTCTGGATGGCATTCCCCACAGGGGCTTCAACGGCCACATCTACAAGGCCTCCTGAGCACCCCACCCTGCATGTAGGGGTAGGGGGCTGAGGGTGTAAACCACACGCCCGCTGCTTCTCCAGCCAGAACTCCCCCTGAACACAGCAGAACCAAGAGAGCTTAAACCATCTTACTGATAACTCAGGTGATTCCCTTACTGAGAGCCCTGCAAATCTTCCCTGCAAACAGCTTACACGGCAGCGCCTCCATCAGACTAGTCCTAAAGATGCACAAAACCGCAGGGGAGCAATTAAGACCAATTGCCATTTATTGCCTGTGTTCTACACACAGCTCTGGTTTGCACCCAGCACTGAAGAGGACAGCCTGCCAAGTAGTGAAGGTTAGCCTGATGTACTTTTCTGCATGAAATGTGTCTAAATTAGACATGTTTGCATTGGCAGGCTAAATCTTTTCTGGCTAATTAAACTCGACAATGGAGACGGAGGAGATGTGTGCTGCACCCCCAGGACAAGGCTGCCAGGGTCAGGGCCCCCTGAGCAGACAAGACATAGGTCATAATTACAGGCCCACCTGCACACAACGACCCTCAGAGAGGTGCCAACCTGCTGACACAAAGATGTTCCACAGAAAAGGGGCATGCACAGCCCCAGTGTAGATCCACCCTCCCTGCCTCAGCTCCAGGTCAGGGTGAGGAGCTTCATCTCTCAGAATCTTAGTAGTTACAGGACTATTCAGGTTATCTGTTTCTTTGCGGGTCAGTTCTAGTAACAAAGTATCAGAAACCGACAATTAATTACTCTTTCAGTCCTAGGAATGTAAACTCCAGTCGGTCCGGCCCACTGCTGCAGAAAGCAGGGCCGGGCTGGGCTGACCACTGTCTGGTCCTGTGCCATCCTCAGTCTTTAAGCTTGAGCCCACTGCTGTCACTGTGCCAATCCATCTGGTTGAGGATCTTCCTCTTTTCACTGACCCTCCACTTTACCAAACATGATGTCCCTCTCCAAGGACGAGTCCCTTCTGATAATATGAGAAGTATAAGAGATGAAGCCTCGCCATCCTAGCTTCTAGGGCTCATTCTGGTTGTAAACTTCCAACACAGATCTGTTTGCTTTTCTAGCAGTCCGTGGTACTTTTAATAATCTTTTCCAACACCATAACTCAAATGCTCAATTCATCTATGGTCTTCCTCTGTATGGGGTAGGTTTCCAGGGAGTGGCTGATGAGTTTGAACCACTGACCTTGCAGTTCAAACCACCCTTGCAGTCCAGTGCTTTATCCTACAGCACCACATCAGGAATCCATACGTATGAGGCAATTAAAAATACCATGGCTTGGCACCTTAGTCCTCAAACTGACATCTTTGCTCTTGAACACTTTAAAGAGGTCTTGTGCAGCAGATTTGCCTAATGCAATATGTCATTTTGATTTCTTGACTGCTGCTTCCATGAGTGTAGACAGTGGAATACAAGCAAAATGAAGTGTTTGATAACTTCAATCTTTCCTGCATTTATCATGATGTTATTTATTGGTCCAGTGGTAAGGGTTTTTTTTACACTGAGGTGCAACCTTTAAGTTCTCTTCACTTTCAGCAAACAAGGTTGTATCATCTGCATATGGCAGGTTGTTAATGAGTCTTCCTCCAATCCTAATGCCACAGTTTTCTTCATATAATCTGGCTTCTTGGATTATTTGCTTAGCATACAGATTGAATAAGTATGGTGAGAGAATACAACCTTAGCATGCACCTTTCTTGATTTCAAACCATTCAGTGTCTCCTTGTTCTGTTAAAATGACTGCCTCTTGGTCCATGTACACAGTTCCTTATGAGCACAATTAATTGTTCTGGAACACTTATTTGTCATCCATAGCTTGTTATGATCCACACAGTCAAAAGTCTTTGAAACAGTCAATAAAGCACATCTTTCTGGTATTCTCTGCTTACAGCCAAGATTCATCTGACATCAGCAACGACATCATCCCTCATTCCACGGCCTCTTCTGAATCCGGCTTGAACCTCTGGAAGTTCCCTGGCAATGTACTGTTGCAGCCATTCTTTAATTAGCTTTAGCAAAATTTTACTTGCAAGTGATATTAATGACATTGCCCAATAATTTCCACATTCTGTTGGGTTACTTCTCTTTGGAATGGGCACAAACATGGATCTCTCCCAATTTGTTAGCCAGGAAGCTATCTTCCAAATTCCTTGGCACAGAATGCCTCCAGTGCTGCGTCAGTTTGCTGAAAGATTTCTATTTGTAGTCTGTCAATTCCCGGAGCCTTGTCCTTTGTCAAGGTCTTCAGTGCATCCTACAGTATCAATGCTCTTGAGCATATGCTACCTCTTGAAATGACTGAACATCAACCATTTCTTTTTGGTACAGTAACTCTGTATTCTTTCCATCTTCTACTTTCTCCTTTTTAACTTTTTATTGTGAATTGAGTAAAGGTTGACAGAGCAGATCATCAGTTTTATATCAACAAACCATGCACTGCTTCAATGCAGGGTTGCAATCCCCTCCATGTACCAACAATTCACAGTATTTACCTTCATTCACTTTAACTATTGCCTAGCGGGAGGGAGCAGTCACTTTACTGGTGGAAGGCCTTGAAATTGGTGAGGAGTTTGTGTATCTATGCAGCCAACCCCACAGAAGCTTTTGAGGCAGGAAGCAGAGAGAAGGAGGAAGAAAGGAGAGAAGCCACAGAAAGAGAGGAGACAAGACCCTCTTAAAACAAAGGCTGTTCTGGAATGGCTAGAAGAAACAGAAGATATTTCTGGAAAGAAAGACCAGCAGGAAAAATCAAAAACAGTAACGGCTGAATGACTGAATGAAATGACTACTACAAGAACAAGCAAGTCGTTCACCCAGGAGCCATCAATTCAAGTGGTCAGGTCCCCTCAGGGCAAACCTCCTTCCAAGACCAAGACTCAAGGGGAATACATGAGCAGGCATGTGGTCCTGCTGCTGAGTTAAGTCTGACCACGCTCAATCGATTCCTGTCAACCTGGGTTGAGACATGGTTGGCCAGCAGTATGGCGAGACCTAGGAACTACTGGGCCCAGGGACAGGGACATGGCCATAGAGGACTAGAGTGGAGAGTGAAGGGTCTGGCTGATATGATGTGAGGGCATATGCATGAGAACACCCATACTTGCAGATAGTACCCATTTGACCTGGCTTCAATGGCTGGAAGATCAAAACACAACTAGAGAAAGAAAAAAGAGGAACAAAAAAAGAAAAAGAGTAACACACTTCAAGTGGATGAACTTGACCAATGCTTGTGGATGTAGTAGCTCAAAAGAGGGAACAAATCTTTAGAGCAAGGATCACTCCCACCCTATTGGTACACAGGGTTGACAGGGATGGGCAACTTAGACATTGGCTACCCAAAATGGGAGGGCTACAAAGGCATGAAGTGACTGGCTTACAAGCTTTCAAGAGGGAGCCCAATTTCAGAGGGTACAGGGGAAGGTAGAATCTTCACTGAGTGGTTTCCAATCTGTCTGGATAGGTCTGGTGAAAGGAGGTGGGGATAAGACTCTTGTGGTTCAACAGTGAATAATTGCTATCAGGACTGATTACAATTGTTGTAAATGTAAAGGTAGGTATTTTGTAACAAAAGGAGGAGAATGGCTGATCTTACAGTCCAGGAGCGGAAGACCCTGGAACCATCAAGGGAGAAGAGCAGAGTGTGGGACCCTATCCAGAGAAACAGCGATTAGAGAGATGGAGGCAGAGATGATGCCGTGGAAAAATGGAGTGACTGGGGACTCTGGACTCTGGGAGGGAGAGGGTCTGTGGGCTGCTGGCTGGGGGGCAGGCTTGTGGGGTGTATCCTTTGGCTGTTTGATGATATATGCAGGGAACTGTAATCATTGCAGTGAAATGAAATAAGGTAGGATGAATGTAAAGCTAATGTTCTCCCATGTAAGCTATCAAATAATTCACAATAAAAACTTTTTTAAAGAACAACAAAGGCTGTAACACTGAAGGTGGCAACAGGTCCAGAAGGGGGTCTGCAGCTGAGTCAGTGGTGATGGTGGGGCAGCTGAAGGCAGAGAGGCCTATCCTGAAGGGGCCCAGGGAAGCCCGTCCTCAGGGGTTCTGAAATGTAGCCGATTATTGCCTTAATAAATCACTTAATTGTCAGTATGAGCTGAATTCTCTGTAGCCATGAAATAGAGTATGCAGTCAAGGAGGAAAGCAGAGGGTGCCATGGAAGGACTAGTGAAAAGGTTGGAGTTTCTTACTGGGAAACCTGCAGAGAGCCCACCTCAGCCATCTTCACTGTTTCCACAGACAACAAAAAACAAGTGTACAACAGGAATTGGTGATTGCAGCAGAGAAGTTTGCTGGGTTCTGGCTTAATCTGGAGAAACATGGGGCAGGGTGTGAACTGGGGTGCAGGGCCCCCATCTCGGGCACAGACAGGCCTGGCTGAGTCTTCTCCAGGGGTGTTACCTGGGGGAGCAGTAGCCATAGATGGGGTGTTGGGAGTTGCTAGGGGTGGGGCATGCAGACACTGAGCCAGGGTGACTGATGATATGATGGGAGTTTTAAAGCAGGTGACCTCCTCTTACCTTGCACACTGCCCCGCCCACCCCCACCCCCAGCTCTCCCAGAATTGCTTGTGAGGAAATAGTCTTCCAAACTTACACCAAACGGAGGAAGAAGACTGGAAATATTCTTACAGAATTTGCCTTTTAGGCCTTGCTGCAGTAAGTAGTTATTATAACAGGTTTTCACCCAAAAGTATTATTATTTTTTATTACTGTTCAGAAGCTACAGCCACGTAACATATTTCAGAAGATATCACAGTGCAGGACTATCTGCTCAGAGCAGAGAAGGTGTACGCGTGCACGTGAAGGCGCTGTGTGCACACAGGGGTGCATGTGTAGGTACGCATCCTTTAAACAAACTCCGAGGCAGAGCTTTCCAGAATGAGGTCTAACCTGAGTCGATGAAAGTTACAAAACCTGTAAACAGGACTGACCCGGCCTGCTGAGACACATACCTCTCCCACCTCAGACCAGGAGTTACAAGATCCTCGAGGAAAGGAGAAGAAAGCTTCCTGTCATCGTTTGGGCTCAGATCACCACTTCTATACAGGTTTACGTGTCTTAAAAACATGTCTGAAACCTGAGGCTCCACACGCTGGAGGACCTCAAACAGGAAGAACATACTCCATCAGACTCACATTCGGTAACGACAAGGAACTCATGTCCCACCTGATCCTGGTACTGCCCGATGCGCCTTCTGACAGCTGGCTGGGGTGTCTCCTATGGGCCTCCTGAGTCAGACTAATTCAACAGGCTGAGAGACCCTGAGCTGCATTTGTCAGGGACTGAGGGAGAGGCCTGCGGCAGCCTGGGACTCACAACACTCCAATGGGGACACACGAAGGCAGCGTGGCAGAGCACACAGGTGGGCAACAGGTAGGAGGGGCTGGACCATATCCAGAGAAGTCAGCACTGCAGAGACCATCGCCAAGCTGTGTCTACCACCACAGAGTGTCCACTATATACAGCGTGCTGACCAGTGACACGATGTGTCACCCTGTGCTCAGTGCCACCCCAGCAATGTGGCTCCCCAGGGACTCTGAAAGTTCAAGTGGAGGCTGATGGGCAGCAACTCAAATCCCAGAAAGTAGAAAGTCCACTGTAAAGGCAACACGCAGTGAGGCTGGAGGGTCTGAGCCATGTCTCTGCCTGGCTCCGAGCTGCACCCCACAGAGGCTGTGGCCACCAACCACCCTGTGTGAACAGAGCCCCAGGGTCCTTCTTCAGAATAAACGACCAACCAACACTCCTATGCAGGGATGGAGAACCAGCCCAGGGGTTCTGACGTCCTCCCTAGACTTACTCTCTGTCTCTCTACACTCAGGTCACCCTGATGCACAGTAGGGGAGCAACAGGCTTGGAGGGGCTGAGGCCAGAACTGGGACAGAGGGCACTGCTCCCCCAACCTGCCATGCGGCCATCCCTCCTTTCAAGGTGAATTCTCACAAGGCCACTCCTGCCTGCTTTTCATCACAGCGTCTCCTTCCAGGAGGAGCAGCCGAGCCTCCAGACTCCCCAAGGATTAGACCATCGGCAGGTTACCCCACTGGCAGATGCTCCACACTGCTGAGTGTCCCAGACATGGTTAAGGGGGTATGCTCCAAACACAGAGCATCGCCTCATGGCTGAGCATCCCCATTAGGGTGGGGCACCCCAGGGCCACCTTCAAGCCACCTTAGGGACACATGAAGACGCCCATCTGTGCCCCACCCTTGGGCTCTGACTTGAGGGGATCGGGGTGCTGGGGGAACGGGGGTCAGGTGGGCCTCAGTCAGAGGGGAGAATCTGTCCATAGAGACAGCACACGAACCAGGAGTGAGGCATGCTGACAGGTGGCTCTAGCTCAGACCCAGCACTCCTGCATTTAAGGTCACTGCACACAAGGCTGTCAGCTCTGCTCCTTGCACATCCCCTCCTGTCTGGAGACACTGGTTCTGCACAGGCTGGGTACCTTCTCCTCTCTCCATCTGTTGCCTTGTCCTCCACCACCCTACAAAGCTGCTCAAAGGTGCAGGGTCTTTAACTACATGTGTGAGGATTTCAGTCCACAGATGGGACCCGCCACCCTAATGTGTCTGCTCACGAGCCTCCTACCTCATCCCCTCGGTGGAACGATGGCGGTGGTTGCGACACAGCTGTGGCACGCCCAGCATGGCCTCGGTGAACACAGCCAGGAAGCCCAGCGTCTCTACGAAGAGGGCCGAGTCGATGCACAGGTAGGTGATGTAACCCGCCACGCCCGAGAAGGCCAGCATGCACTGCACGTAGTCCGAGAAACTGCTCCAATGCCAAAAATGGTGAGGGTCGAAGTCTAGGGTAGCAGGGAAAGGGTGAACATGGTCAACCACTCACATCTGGACAGGCATGATGGAGCCACTGCCCACCTCGGAACCCCTGCCCTTGGGTAGAGCCACCCTGCAATCTGTGTCTGCAGTGGAAAGGGAAGGGCTAGCACCCACTTCCTGGGGCAGCCCTGAGGGTCAGCGAGCTCAGTTTAGTGAAGAGCATTTATCACAAAGGAACGGAGCCATTCACCATCTACGCTTGGTTCTTACCAACCACAGCCGTGACGGGCTGTGCTGGCCGCGGAAACCACACCACCCTGTCTGGGGGGTGACAGCCATGACCACCACACCGCCGTGTGTATGTGTGTGTGTCTGGGAAGTGACAGCTATGACCACCACACCGCCGTGTGTGTGTGGGGGGGGGTGTGGGGTGTGGGTGTGTGGTGTGTGTGTCTGGGGGGTGACAGAACACCACACCGCCCTGTCTGTGGGGTGACAGCCATGACCACCACACTGCCCTGTGTGTGTCTGGAGGTCTGGCAGGCACTCACGTTTTTTCGCGGGTCTGGCCAGGTCTATGAATGGCCTTGACCATCTCACAGATTCCAATGAAGAGGTATATTAGCAAACTCAGGTGCCATAGTGCAGATGGCCCGGAGTTATGTCGTGGAATAAGGGTACAGTTTGCTTGACAGACAGCCAAGTTGAGAGTTCACTGTAAGCAGTGAACTAATGAGGCTCCCAGAAGGACCAGAGCTCAGACCAGCAGACAGAAGCCTGCGGGAAAGCCAGCAGGGTCCAGGACGTGGGCACGGATCAAACGTCTGAGTGAGGGGTGAGGGCTGGAGGTGGCCCACTGTCCACTGTCTAAATGCACACCTGTCTCACCCCACACCGGCTACCTGCTCTGTCTGTTCCACATCCCGGATAACAGCTGCCAGTTGTGGGGGCGTCAGTGAGGAGCTGAGGTTGCAGGGAGCTGGGTGGGGGCACGGTATCAGTTCCGGGTCAGGGTAGCGCTGGTTTACTACACACAAGACAGGGAGCGGCCATGTGCCTCCTCAGCTGCAGTTCAGACATCAGCCTGGGGGCCCAGGGCCCAGGGCATGGACAGGGAGCCGCGGTACAGGACCAAGGTCACACAAAGATGTCATGTGGGGTTCCAGGTCTGGGACAGTCCCCTCCACAACTGGACAATGAAGAGGGTGCAGCCAGAGAGGGTCTGTGAGCAGGCTGAGGAGGGAGGGAGGAGGGTGTATGTGTGTGCATGTGCGTGTATGTGTGTGCGGTTATCTGAGAGAAACACACAGAATACAACCGGAGGGACCCAGCAGGAACCTGGGACAGCAGGATCTGGGAAGGACACTGTCCTGGGGAGGGGGTAAGGGGTATCCAGCTGGCACTTAGGAAACTGAAGTCAGTTTTATAGCTTCCAACTTCTTCACTAAGGAGGAAGTGGGCAAGAGAGGCTGCATGAACAGGAAGTCCAGCTGTACGGGCAGGAAGTGGTGCTCCCTGCGGCAGGTCAGTATGGCTCCTGTGCTCAGAGCGCCCACAAGTGAGCTAAGGGGGCAAAGTGGTGAAAACATGCCACACATCACTCCGTTCAGAGCACAGATCACAGCAAGGCCCTGAGGGACGAGAGACCAGAGAGGCGGTGTCAGGGTCTGAGGGCAGTGTGTTCTGGACAGGCCGTGAGCAAGCTGCAGAGCGCTGGGCCTCACAGAGTAGAGAGCGCAACACGCCTAAGTCAGTTCTCTAGGAGGCACATTCGGAAAGGGAAGAAATCAGACTGATATTGATGAAATGACATATTTCATCTAGAACAGTGCATCTGAAATATTATCATTCCAGCAGGGAATAAATGTAAAAACCAAGCTTTAATTTTTTCTTTTGTTCCAGCCCCTTTTTTCAAGCCTAAGGCATCTTTTAAACTCACTCATCCTGAAACCTGAACATAGCAGGCCACTGAGCCCTTCTCTGTCCTGCAAACTGGCCTCCAGCTACTGCTGCATGTCACCACATCAGCTCAGCCCCACACATAGGACGACCTCGGTCTTCAGACCCTCTTGTCATTTTCTTCCAGGTGGCAGCATCTCATCCCCACACCTCACAGCAGCAGCACAATGCAGACAGGCACTCCTCCTGAACACACACACACAACACAACAGCATCACGAGGCAGGATGCTCACAATCACCAGAGGCACAGAATAATTCAACTCTCTCCCCAGTGTGTCCACACGAGGGCTCGGCATGGCAACACAAAAACCCGGGCCTGTCGTCAACCCGAGTGTGGTGAGAAAACCACGCAGGTCTGGTCCTGACCGTCAGGTCCTCCATGCTATGGACACAGACCATCCTCAGGAGCCACATCCACCTCAGCAGAACCACATGAGTGAGATGAAGGCCTACTAAAGTCTGCAGGAGCCACAGAGAGGAAGAGGCAAATGCTCTCCGTGAAGCAGCACTTTGCTAGCCATCAGAGAGACCACAAGGAGGACTAACGCGGTGACTTGCAGCTGTTCTTTAAAGATAAGGATGAAGTTCACTACAAAAACAGGAGGGGTGGGGAGCAAGATTATTTAGGGGTGGGTCACCAGGAAGGGAGGGCAGATCATAATCAACACTCTCTCCCAGAAGTCTGTTCCCGGCCTATCACAGGAAATGCTGCAGTTCCTAAAACAGTAGAACCGTGTCAGCACCAGGGACAGCACCAAGTCAACACAGGTGATTGGCCAAAGGGAAACCAGTGCTCATGTCTGTTGTAAAGACATTTATTGCATTATCTGAGAGGAGACGACGAATGTATGCTGACGTCAATAGGAATGGCCCGCTACTGATGACTGAACAAGTTTCCATGGTGACGGCGCTCTGATGGCTTGGTGTAGAAAGGCCTCCTTAGTAGTCTCCCAGTGGTCATGGCCTTTACCAAGTGAAATGAACGCCCAGCACCTTCAGAGTCTGCCAGCTCATGCAGGCTAGTCCCATGCCTCATAATCAAAGTCATGGTAACAGGTCCTAAGGAGCTTGCAACACAGTCTACCTAGCCTCCATTCACAGGCTGACTACCAGCAAACCACTGGAGGAGAGCTCCAGAGAGCCACAGGGGACAGCCAGAATCCACCACAGAGCACAAGGACAAGGAGAGGCCAAGACTCAACTCTGGAAGGGTGAGGTGTGGGCAGCAGAAAGGCCTCGTTTCTCTGCCTCCCAGGGAAAGCCCAGCTGAGAGGCAGTCCTAACCTAGAGTGAAGGATGCAAAAGGACACATTCATCCAGGTCATCGCTGTTTGTGAAATCCAAGTTCCCAGACACCAGCCAACTGCCAACCACACAAGCAGATCTCTTCAAGGATAGCTCTGTGCGGTCTGCTGCTCTGTTAACTCTTGCTCTGCATAACTGTCAACGTGTCACTTCTTCCTTAATTAATCTATAGATTCAAGACAATCCCAATCAAAATCCCAGCAGACTTTATTGTAGAAATTAACAAGCTGATTGTAAAATTCATAGAGAAATGCAAAAGCTCTAAAAGAGACAAAATAAGTGTGAATAGGAAGAACAAAGTTGGAGGATGCTCACATTCTGATTTCAAGATTTATAAAATGACAGAAATCAAGACAACGTGGTAAGTCCTGGCCTAAAGGTGAAAACAGAAACCAGACGTACTGCCATCAAGTCGACTACGAATCATAAACATCCTATAGGACAGAGCACAGCTCCTCAAGGTATCCGAGACTGCAAATACATTTTTACCGCAGCAGACAGCCTCACAGTTCCCCTGATGAGCAGCTGGTGGGTTCGAACCACTAACCTTGATGGTTAGCAAATCAACATTTAACCTGATGAGCTACCAGGGATCCTAGCATAAAGACAGATAAATGCAATCAAACAGAGTCCAGAAGTAGACCAACACACACATGGACGACTGATTATCAACGAAGATGTAATGGTTATTCAGTGGAGTAAAGATGGTCTTCTTAACAAAGGATGAAACATCAGCTGGATCCCCACATGCAAAAATCAGTGAACGTGGGCCCATCCCTCACACCATAAACAAACATTAACTCAACGTGGATCACAGACCTAAATGTAAAACCTAAAACGAAACTTCTAGAAGGAAACCTTTGAGACCCTAGGTTAGGCTAAGATTTCTTAAATATAACACCAAAATCAAGATCCACTTAAAAAACAACAACAAAAAAACCACTCTAAGCTGGATCTCATCAACAGTAAAAACTACTGCTTTAAAAATATAGTATTAAGTGAATAAAAAAAAAAAAAAAAACACAGACTGAAAAAAACATTTGTAAATCATACATCTGATAAAGGTTTGTATCTAATATATACAGAACTATCACAACTCAATAATAAAAATACAAAAAAATGAATTTTAAAATTAGCAAAAGATTTAGACAAGTCATCTAAGATGATATAAAGCTAAAAAAGTAAACACGAAAAAATGTTCATTTATTAGTCATTGGTAAAATGCAAATTAAAACCACAATGGTACGCTGTCAGACACCTATTTGAAAATCAGAAGGCACTGTTGGTGGGGTGAACGGCAGAAAACCACTTAGGGAAACAGTTTGGCAGTTTCTTAAAAAGTTAAACATACACTTACCATATGATCCCAGCAGTCCACTCGTAGGTATTTACCCAGAGAAAAGAAAGCACATGTTCATATAAAGACCTGTACACAAGTGTTCACAGCAGCGATATTTGTAACAGCCCCAAACTGGAAACAATCCAAATCCATCAACCAGTGACTAAACAAAAAAATGATGGAAGAGCCGTATCACGGAATAGCACTCAGCAATGGAAAGGAAAGAGCTACGGATAGCCCCAGAGCACGGACAAATCTCAAAGTAATCACAATGAGTAACAGAAGCCATACAAAAGAGCACACTCCGTATGAGTCCATCTACACAAAAATTCTAGTAAACGCAAAACGCAAATGAACGTAGAACGATAGGGAGAAGATACGGGGAGCCTGTGGGACAGGGTAGTTAGAGGAAACTTTTGGGG